TTTATAGACGTTGGAGATGAGCCTGTTTTTCCAGTGTAGTCCTGTTTCTCTGACTATGACTGGCTGGATGTGCTCTCTTCATCCTCGCATCCAAGTCAATGAGTCGATGCAATCGACTGGTTTTCCTTGGATGGAGAACTTTAAATCAGTCTGACTGGATGATCTGGTGAACTGTAAAGTGCCTTGAGATGAAATGTTGTGAATTGGCGCTATACAAATAAACCTTATTAAATTGTGTATGAAATTATTGTTTTATGTTTTCAACATAAAATAATCAGGTCATAATAAGTGATTAAACTCAGATTCGGTGACGTCAGATATTTTAGATGTGATATCTGGACATAATTTGTTTTTTATTTTAGCAGGGTTATACTTTTTCTAGTGTACCTGTATCCCAGAGGGTTTAGACCAGCCCAGAAAGGGGCTGTGCAACAAGCAATCCTCGACCTAAGCCTTCAAGCCAACACACTAAACCACAATAGGGCAGACAGCACAGACTCCTGCCAGCCCATAGGACCCCCATCCCCACACCAAGCTGTACCTAGAAGGGAGTGGAAACGTGGAATGAACAGGTATAATAATTATATGCCATTATCAGCATCCCAGCCATTACAAACATTGAAACTTCGAATGAAAAATATTGATGACCCCTGCTGTAAAGTAAATAAATTTGAACCTCTAAAACCGATGCTGAATCAGGGAGATATAAGGAAAGAAAGCGTGTTAATGACTGCAGGTAGCAGAAACCTTTAAGCTAAAGGAAGCAGCTGCTTAATGGTGTGAAAACATTACAGGTTATAATGCCTCTCAGAGAGGAAATTATCCACCCTAACGCAGTGGAGAGCAAGGGAGAGGGAGCGAGAGCAAGAGATTGTCCTATCGCCCCCTGGGGAAGAGCAATTGTTTTTTACATCATGAGAAAGGTAATCTGAGTCATAATAATGCCTGGCAGCCTCAGGAACAGTAAAAGCCACAAAATAATGAATCCCAGAACCACCTCTCTGCTGTGCCTCTCTCCTTCTGTAGTTTTTATTTTTGTTATCCATCGGAACATTCAGCTGTTTATTTTCTTTGGACTTCGAGCACTCAGTAACCGTAAACAGCAGAAACATAGGTGGTGTTTGATTCCGTCCTAAAATAAAACAGTTCAGGCAGTTATGTTTAAAACGTACATTTTGACATAGTCATAATAAATGTCAGTGATAAAAGAGAAAAAAATGAAAATCTAAATTTATACATGCAAAGAGCTTTTTACAATAAAAAAGGAGATAGTGAGCGTTGTAGCAAAGGCCCATTCCAACTACAGTACACAATTCAATATCTTTTTTTCAGAACCTTCATTCAGCCAGTAGTTTGTAATATTAAAATATGAGTCTTGAATAAAATATAATAATCACAAGGTGCACAAACTGCTTTACCAGAAGCATTGATTCCAGAAATCTGTTAATAATTTACAGGAATATAAAAACATATTTTTAAAACTCACCATCTGTTTGATTAAATACTTCACTCTATCCTTCAAAGGAAATAGCCAAAAAATGTATAAATTAATAACTGATTATTTTAAAGTAATATAAGTGGATAAACAATAAGAAATGCAGCCTATGATGTAATGGGAGAATTTCTGATTTCAGGTCCTTCTGGACAAAAGTCAAAAGCTGCTCCAGTCTTTTCCTCAAAGGCTGCCAGCAGATCCTTGGATCTCACCATGAGGTTTACACACACTTCAACAGTCAGAGGCATCAAATTAAATGTTTTACGTTTAAAGAAGACAAGACTTAATGCTGAGTAATGATGTAATCATTGAGTAATCATCAGCTTCTGCTCTTACAACCCTGTGTGGAATTTTAACCATTTTAAGTGGGAATAAATGTAGGCATGTCCCAAAAATTCCTCTTGGCATCAGCAAAAGTAAATAATCTATTTTCTTCAGCTTTTATCATTTTTTTATGTAACTGTAAAACTACTAGCCAGCCAGTCTGCCCTGGGGTATCATCTGTTTTTCTTTTTTCTTACTACTGTAAAGAGAAATTTGAGCTTAAAGCTTAGAGAGCTATAGCTTTCACTGTCACAATTAAAGTGACCTTTGTTGCAATTCCACCATGGGAATTGTGTCAGAGACATTTCCCAATGAAACGTAACTCCACCTGTTACCATCCACAGCAGATCATGTCACACTTAAACGTCTCAGCTACTATGCTGGCATCTCACAGAGTTACAGGTACACAACTGGAGATCTTCTAACCCCACCTCCCCCAACATCCTACAAGTGTCATTCTCATTGTAACCCTAACCCCCCCCAGTGTGATCCAGCGCATTAAATAGACCTATAAGGCCCTCAGGGTCAAACATCTTTAACCTCTTATTTTTACAGATGAGTCCAGTTAGCCCAGATCAGTTTTTTTGAACAAGCAGGAACCTTCACAGGTTGTTTTCTTATGTTTGTTTGAGTTGAGTCTAGCCAGAGGATCAGTCAACTGACAGATACTGAAAAATAAAACATAATGCCCAGTCGTGGTTGGTGGAGAGACATTGAGAGTCAACAGACCGTTCTGTTCCCACATTGTTTAATCAGCAAAGTTAACAGACTCTTTAAGACCAATTCCTAATTAAAGGAAACACACTTTTTCTGTCAGTAGGTAATAGGGGTGGAACGGTTCACAAAATCCACGGTTCGGTTCACGGTTTCGTGGTCACAGTTTTCGGTTCGGTATATGTTGATTGTTACACCGAAATCCCATAAAAATTAATGAAATTGAAGAAAAAAAAAATTAATGAATTGTAATGATTTTTAATGATCTGCGGAAACACTGGATCATTTCCGCATGTTTTGCTGCTTTGAATTTAATCATCTGGCGCATGTCCTCTACGATCTCCAAGGAACTCAGAGCAGAGCGGACGGGAGCCACAGTGGAGGCTGTAGGCTTTGCTTTGTGCAGGCGGTCTGGTGCGCAGCGGGGCAGAGCGCTGATGGAGTATGTGGGATTTCGGGGTTAGCATGACATGTTGGTCATGTTGTTGTTAGCATAAACAAAACGTGTTGCACAATGCTTGCACACTGTTGCACTTTTGTCCACAACTTTCATCGTAGGTC